TGGATCTGGGCAAAGTTAACTGAAAACCGTTTGGACAGAATTTACTCTTCTAGATGCCATTAAGAGGGGTTTGAGACTTCAGTGGAGGAAGTAACTGCAGAACTAGGATGAGAAGATGGAATGAGATGAGAATGAGGAGCCTGAAGATGGGGCTACATGGCCACAATTTCATGACGGAAGTTTAATGGATGAGGAGTTGCTTGCAATGCCTGAGCAGAGAAAGTCATTTCCTAAGATGGAATCTATGACTGAGAAGATGCTCAGGAAATTGTTGAAATGATGACAGAGGATTTAGAATATTATATAAATTGGGGCGCCTGGGGGGGCTCAGTTGGTTGAGCATCCGACTTTGGCTCAGGTCATGATCTCACAGTTCATGAGTTTGAGCCCTCTATCGGGCTCTGTGCTGTCAGCACAGAACTTGCTTTGGATCCTCTGTCCCCCCTCTCTGACCCACCCCCACTCACGCTCTCTTTCTCTCTCTCACAAATAAATAAAATTAAAAAAAGAGAATATTACATAAATTTAATGGCAGGGTTTGAGAGGGCTGACTCCAATTTTGAAGTGGGTAAAATGCTATCGAACAGCATGGGAAGCTGCAGAGAAATCATTCTTGAAGAATCCACCAATGTGGCAAACTTTGTTGTCTTACTTTAAAAATTGCCACAGACGCCCGGGTGGCTTAGTCGGTTAAGCGGCCGACTTTCGCTCAGGTCATGATCTCGCCGTTCATGGGTTCGAGCCCCGCGTCGGGCTCTGTGCTGACTGCCAGCTCGGAGCCTGGAGCCTGTTTCAGTCTGTGACTCCCTCTCTCTCTGACCCTCCCCTGCTCACGCTGTCTCTCTCTCTCCTAGAAATAAATAAAACATTAAAAAAAAATTATAAAAATTGCCACAGTCACCCCAACCTTCAGTAACCATTACCTCGAGGCAAGACTCTCCACCAGCTGAAAGATTATGTCTCATTGAAAGCCTCAGAGAAAACTTAAAGTAAAAAAAAAAAAAAGAAAGCTCTGATGATGCTTAGCACATTTCATAGCAATAAAGTGTTTTTAAATTAAGGTGCATACAGTTTTCTTTAGACAGGATGCTATTGCACACTTCATAGACTAGGGTGCAATGTGTACATAACTTTTATATGCACTGGGAAACCAAAACACTCATGTGACTTGTTTTGTGATCTTCGCCTCATTGTGGCAGGACCCGACCTTGCAGTATGTTCGAGGTATGCCTGTACTTCATACTCCAATGACTTCCCAGCTTAATTCGTCCTCTCCTTCCCACCCTAACCTCTGGCCTTTTCTATCCTCCTTGAGAAAGTGGCAGGACCAGTCAGCATCCAGTTGTCCAAGCCTTGACCAGTCTTCTCTTGTACTGCAAGACCTGTGTGCAATGAACACTCGGCTCTTGCGGCATTTTCCCGCTAGCATTTCTCCCTAGTGGCTCCTTCTGCACATGCCCACCGTTGCCTGGATACCGGATGTCACCACAGCTCACCTGGATTATGCGAAAATGCCCTCACTGCTTCCTGAGTGGCCCCTCAAGCTGTCCTTATTTTTAAAAATTTTTTAACGTTTATTTATTTTTGAGAGAGAGAGAGAGAGACCGAGCATGAGTGGGGGAGGGGCAGAGAGAGAGGGAGACACAGAATCTGAAGCAGGCTCCAGGCTCTGAGCTGTCAGCACAGAGCCCAATGTGGGGCTCGAAGTCATGGGCCACGAGATCATGACCTGAGCTGAAGGCAGATGCTTAAACGACTGAGCCACCCAGGTGCCCCATGAGCCGTCCTTTATGCTGAGAGCGGGGTGATCTACCGCAGCTCAAAGCTGCTCCTTTAACAGCTCCGTGGGGCTTTCGGGGATGGACTCCAAATCCCTGCACTTAGCACACTGAGTGGAACTTCCTAACATGGCCCTGCCCGTCTCTTCCCACATGCAAATAGGTCTGCACATTCTGTTCCCTCTTCCCATACTCACAAAAATGTTTAAAAAATGTGTTAAAAATATATATAAATTTACCATTCAAATCCAGTTTTCTTTGTCTAGATTATTCCTACTTATCCTTCAAATTCAGCTCACGTGTGACCCCTTCTGAAAAAGCTTTTCTGAGTTCTCAGGCTGAGGTAGGTGCCCGTCTTTTGTGCTACCAATATGTTGGCTCTTATCACAGTGTACTCTGTGTTAGCTTATGTCTCTTTTTACAGACTCCCTAAGAGAATCTGTGTCTCATTTAATCTTGCATCCCCAAGGCTTCAGTGTATGGTTGTACAGGTTATGCAATGCACTAGGATGTCTGGTTAAGAGAGTGAGCAGGCAAAGAAGTCCATTAGCCAAATGTGCACTCTGGGACAGGGCTGTATCCAGGCCTTTTTCTATTCTGCACAGAGATGCCATCAGGGGGTCCTATGTATCCTCAGGTCTTGTTATGGAATAGTAGGTGCTCATTAAATGTTAAATTGAGTGCAGACAGGTGGAGGGATGTTTTAGGCAAAGGCACCAGAAGAAGACATGGTGGGTAAGCTAGAATAATGGGATGGTACTGGACGACTGGTTTAGGGGGTTTGGAGCCAGTTGGTAGAGAGTCTCTTATGTTGGGCTGGGGACCTAATTCTTAATCCAGTAGGCAATGAGGAAACTTTGAAAATTTTTGAGAGGACTGTGCCTTAGAATCACAAAATATTCAGGCTTGAAAATGAGACTCCAAGAAGTGAAGTGACTTGTTCAAGGTCACATGGAAAGCTCGTGGCTGAGCCCAGCCTTGAAGTGGCTTTTTGTGCCCCGGGCTCGGCGCTGGCTCGTCTATAGTGCTCTTTGGAGAAGCCTGCCTTCATGGAGGCGGAGCCCTCTCAGTCTCTGAGTCTGCCCAGCCTTCCCAACACACGCCCCTGGTGATGGAGGACAGGGGACAATGGCCCAGCTGGCTGGAGGCGCGAAAGGAGGATGCAGCTGCGGTCAGCCTCCTGGTGCACCCTGTCTGCCTTCGAGAAGGTGCGCAAATCACACGTTCACTTTCTGCTCTTTACACAAGGCAAGTGTTCTGAGCACCCCCAACACGCGCCACCTTTTTTTTTTTTTTTTCATAAGAAGGACTTCCCTCCGTGTGATACTTTTGGTTGCTCTTCTTCAGGCCCTGGCTAATTTTTTCAGACTCTTTCAGAACCACCTTCTGCTCTGTAGCAAGTCTTAAGGAGCATGTGTGGAGTTGGCTTCCCTGGAGTGTGGACCCTGATCCAGCCCGGGGACCTCCCCGAAGGCTGGCCTCCTGCGAGAATGCGCGGTGCTGTGTTTCACCCTGCAGGGACCACGTGTCTCATCTGCCATCTGTGCTGTTCGTGCTATGATCTTCTATGACCCCTGACTCTCCTTCTGGCTTATTCCTCACGAGCCCCTTGTCCAGCTCTCCCCATCTGGTTTCTCAGTACCTCCTTTCTGGACTCTGAAGCAATGACTTTATCCTTTTCCTTTTTCAACTTCATTTCTCTAGCATTTCAGAGAGATTGGACGTCTCGGCCTCTAGCACCAGTTATAGGAGCTCCGTCCTTTGGCGCACACAACAATGACATTGTCGTCACATATTTATTGAATGTGTGCTCTGCTTCAGACACTGCGCTTGTTGCTTTTTAGCTCTCTTCATCCTCCTGGCAATGCCACAGCACAGAGCTATTATTAGCTCCATTTTACAGATGTGGAACATTGAGGCACACCAGATCAAGCAACTTGCCCAAAGCCACCCAGCTGAGTTGTGTAGGCAGGCAGGGGTCCAGAGGTTTGTGTTTCCATCGAGACACCTGGTGCTGCCTTGGCAAAAAAGCTAGCGGCAAAGTCACTAATTAAAGACGGACTCACACTCTGCATGAGCAGGTCCAGAGGCCACCAACCGTCACTCTCCGGCTGGATCTTCCCTAACCTGCTATGTCCCTAACAATCTGAGAGAACAAATCTTGCCCACATGGCCCACCTGTATGACAATAACTCCCATCCTCGACACCTGTGTCTAAAGCTTTCCATTCTATCGCAAGAGGCTCTTTTCATTGATCTGGCATCATGAGCTCTTTACAAAGGCATCATAATTTCCAGAGAGCAGTGACAAATTAAATTGACATATAAGGGCAGTCCACAGCTTTACTAGAGATGAACTTAAGTGTAATTAACTATCATTAATTAACAGAACACTTTTTCTCCTTAAATATATAAGTGAGGCAGGCTCCACACTTAACCCGTCTGCCTTCACGATCCCCGAACAAGAAGGATAGAGGCTCTGTCATAAGCCCGTCCTAAGTGTTCCGAGTTGAGGCTGTCAGCATATGAAGATACTTGCCTACTGTTTCCTGTCCTCCTCTGCAGTTTGGTCCCCTAGGGGTCCACCCCATGGGTAACCTTTTCTGACTCTTGGGTAAAGATTGAGATTAAAAAAAAAAAAGAACCCCAAGCCTCTGATGCTTCAGAGCCCTGCAGCTGTCTCCCACCCCATCAAAGGGGTGACATTCTCTTTGGATTCTTCTTTTCTTCCAGTGGTCAGCTCCTAATTACCTGTGCCTCTGGAGCGGAGGCCTGGCTGTTTTGAGGTAGGGAGGCTCACTGGGGGGCCTGCTTCCCAGGGCCAAGGGTCTGGCCGGTGGCTTCACTCCCTGCTGGGCAAATTGTCTGAGCTTCTGATGATTTACCTCAAAGCTTCTCTTCACTGGGGTGGAAAATTGAGAGATGACCACATAACTGAGGACTATTTCTCTGTTACTCTTTCCTGAGACCCAACCTGGCTCAGCTCTCAGGGACAGCGAAGCATCCCCTGTCAGGCATATATGGTGTTATTAGGTCCTGGGTTCCCTCTTGGGATTTAGGTCTCTCACCCTATTATTCCGCTTCTGTGTCCCATTCCCTCCTCATTCCCCAAATTCCTGGACTCAATGCCCAGGAACAAAGCCAGAGGGTAAACACAGTTTCCTGTGGTGACATGGATAAGCAAGGGACAAACAGCTGCGGGCTGCCAGTGCCCGACACTCACCATGCTTTGTCCCTGGATCCCTTTGCAGAAAAGACCGTGTGCTGTTTGCTGCTGGAGGTAAGTAGATTGTCTTTGGGCGTTTTGAATGGCTTTGAGGTGCTGTTGGCAGGGTTCTGGCCGCTGAGACAGGCTTTGGTTTTCACCTGTCCTAATGCTGTCCTGGAACTGGACGATGGAGATGCTGGAGAGGGAGAAGGTCTACACATTGAACCGTGTCTTCTCTCTACAGAGGAAGAAAGAATAGAACTCAGCACAGGCAAAGAGAAAAATGCTTACCTGGCCATGTCAGCACCCCGGAAGCCCCGTCCTGATGACCATTTGTCTTGACATCTGCTCCTATCTCCCCAACAAGCAGGGATTTCATTCTGATTTCTTTATCAAATGGCACATGAGACTGATATACCAAGGTTCTCACAAGAGGCTTTTACCAGGCTATCCTTCTGCAAAACCACGTCCACAGGACGAGTGGAGGGTACACCAGCCACCATCAGAACACAGTGGGATAAGCCCCAGACAGCACTCAGAGGCCACAGGTCCCTCGGGGCAGTGAATAGAGCAGGACTCTCCAGAGAACAAATAGGAAATTCTTGAACATGACTCCCTCCCCTCTCCCAGCAGGAGCAGTAAGGTCCGAAGGACCAGAAGGGCTGAATAAAAGGGTCTTTGAGTGCCAGGGAGTGGCTCAGCATCTGCCCATGTAACACGGTGGCCTCTCCAGGGCTCACTGAGGTCCAGGGCCACTGCAGGAAGGCATCAGTGCTTGAGGGAGAAATCACAGATGTGTGCCCGGGTTTAGGTGGCCAGGCACAGCCTCTTGAGGTTCCATAGAAAACCCCAGAGCTCTGGATGGACATCCTCACTTGTTCTCACTCGGTTAGCCCCGGAGATCTTGACTCAATGGGCAGGATGAGGATGCTGACCAGGAAAACAGGTGCATGGAGTAAAGTTCTTAACTGTTATGGGCTAACAGATCTAATCCAAGCTAAGGACCCCCTCTCAAGAAAATGGCACATTTACACATGCGCAAAAACTTTGTATACAATTATAGGAAAGAACTCCGGATCCCCAAAAGATGACGGCTCCGAAACCCTAAGTCCCCTCTGGCTTTCTGGTGCCTATGTCAGGGCTCCACATATAAGTTGGTGCTTCATTCATGTGTTGAATAAATAAAGGAAATTATAACATGTCTCCTGATGGCAGCACCTGGCTGGCTAGGTTGGTAGAACATATGACTCTTGATCTCAGGGTTGCAAGTTTGAGCCCCACATTGGGTGGAGAGATTACTTAAAAATAAAATCTTCAAAACAAAGTGTCCTGATGGGAAGAAGAAATCACAAATCTGGAAATCTGGGTTGAACGTGATAATGAACAAGGTAGAAGGCAGAGATGGCAGTCCACATTGTCCTTCCATCTCCAAGCTGGGTAATAAGCCTTTTCTCATTACTGAGACCTTTCTGGCAGTTATTCCAGGAGAAGACCTGGGAGAAAAAAGCCAGACCAACCTGACCATCAGGAATGGGACGCTGAGGGTCTCTCTGTGTTCCCTCAACCAATGGGCTGCCAGGCTGTCTCAGAACAGATTGACCCTAGTCCTCTGATGAAGTGGGAATTGGGGGGAAAGTGGATTTTTGGCGATCATCTGATTGTTGGGTCCTTTGGGCCTGACCAGTGTTCACGGTTTGCCTACACTGAATTACTTTACTGAGTAAGTTTTCTTCATTGAATCAGAGCCAACCTTGCATACATGCTCAACTCCCCCCCACCCCTCCACCCCACCCGCACCCCAGTCCCATGCCACTGCAAGTCTTAAAAACCAAGAGCCAATCCCAGGGTGTCTTCTTTGACGTCGTGGGAGAACTCTGGGCGGCAAGCCAGAGATCTAGTCTCTGACTCCAACCATACCACATTATTAAGCTTCTGGTCTGGACTTCACCACTTACACATTCTCAGTTTCCATGTCTTTATCTGTAAATGAAGTGGGTCCCTAGGTGGCCTCTAAGGTCTCTTTCCTCTCCATTACCATAAATACAAGACATATTTACACCAGTACCTTTTCTTCTCATCTCTCATGATTCCTGAATAGTAGAGCAATAATTACAGCTGAAGTATTGAAATATTTTACTCAGGCAGGACCTTCCTTGGAGGAATTAATTCATCCTTTGTGAAGTTGTACTGGCCTTTACAACCCTTGTGAGACAGGCAGGAAGCAGCGAGGCGTCTCCACCCTCCTCACGGCTGACTGGCCAAAGAAGACCCAGAAGGGCGAGGTGACTCGCCAAGGTCAGGGCCAATGGCTACACGAGCAATGGTCCTCTGTGCTGTGTGAAGGGGCCTAGCCAGTTCTCAGGAAGGCAGGAAATGGGGTGTACCGTGACCAAGATTTGAAGCCAGACAACTAGGAAGTGCAGGACTTACAATCACGGAAGGTTAGGACTGGATCGAAAGTTCGTCCGATCTCTTTGCTAATGGGTGAGGTCGGAGAGGTTACCATCGGGAGCCCGCAGGGCACAGCTAGTTGGGGACAATGCCGAGACCAGAGCCAAGTCTTCTCCCTTCAAACCCGGAGCTCTGGCTGCCCTTGGGAAGCGTCTTGCTTAACAACTTCTTTTTTTGGCAGGGGTTTCCAAAACTAAAATATGACTTTGATTTTTACCACTACTGTTTGGGAATTTTCTTCATTTACTCACTTGCTTATCACTTGCTCGAGCTGACCTAGTGGGTAGGGGGAAAAGGATGTGCAGAAATACTCCTTAGCTCTGGTGGACAGCTAAGCTCTGATAATGAAGAGAAATTTTGTTTTTGCTGAACTAAGAGTTAAAAATAATACAAGTAAATGAAGAGAGACAAATACCATATGATTTCACTCATATGTGGAGTTTAGGAAACAAAACAGATGAGCAAAGAAAAAAGGAGACAAAGCAAAAAACAGACTCTTAACTAAGGAAAACAAACTAATAGTTACCAGAGGTTGGGGGTGGGGGAGTGGGTGAAAGAGGTGATGAGGATTAAGGAGGGCACTTGTTGTAATGAGCACTGAGTAATGTATTTAAGTGTTGAATCACTATATTGTACACCTGAAACTAACATAACACTGTATGTTAACTATATTGGAATTAAAATTTTAAGATGCTACTACTACTACTACTACTACTACTACTACTACTACTACTATAAGCAAAGACCAATCACAAGGAAGGATGCCATTATGGACAAAATGAATGAGCCAGACCAGTGATTCTAAAATCACCTCCTCAGAGAATTCTGTATAGTGACCTGGCTAGCACATTCCACTGCTAAAATCACAGAGAAGATGAAATTAATGGATACACTTTTATCTTGGTTTTCTATTTTAGTTCCATAAATTTTTCTCAAATGACCAGCTGGAAGGACAAATTGTATATGAGAGAATACTCAACAAAACTTGAAGATAGCCCTTCACCCTTAATTTTTTTTCATGTGTGATTTTGTATTGTAATAAACAGATTAAAGCAGTATTTCCTGCTTGAACTGTTCCTTATTATTCATACTTAAGTAAATCTATCACTATTTCAAGGTATCCCACAAAGAGACCCAGACTTCTGTCCCCTGAGCTTCAAGAACAAGCTTGCCAGCCACTGGTGCAGGCGAGAAAGGCTGTACATGAATTTCAAGTGTGGAACTAGGGTCACCATGATCAGAGCGTCCCTTAGGAGGCGAGCTTCACACTTCACTTTCACTTTGAAAATGGGTAGAACTGATGTCCTGGGTAGCGCAGAGTGAGTAGATTTTTCAGAAAGATCCAATGCCTCTTCAGTCTGTGTTTCTCTAGTCTGTGAAGACCCATGTGTAGATAACTTACATGGTTTTATCTTTGGTGGGCTGGTGACAGGAGAAGACAGTATCTTGGTTTCTTGTAAAAAGATATTGCTGTGCAGTGTCCCTGGGTAAAGTGTTCCAGATTCACCTTACCAGCATTCTGCTCCAAGTCCTCACCTACTCTGGGCTTACTTATTTTTTCTGTTTTGGTCAAGGGACAGCCTAATGGAGATCCTAATAATTATTCTAATTCCATTTGCCCTGCCCGGAAAGTTTATAAAACATTGTATTTTTTATTCGCTATTAAAATATTTTATAAACTTTTTTTTTAATTAGAGAGATTGAGAGAGAGAGCAAGCAAGCACGTGAGCAGGGAGAGCGACAGAGAAGGAAAGAGATAGAATCCTAAGCAGGCTCTGCGCTTAGCCCAATGCAGGGCTTGATCCCATGACTCTGGGATCATGATCTGAGCCGAAAACAAGAGTCAGATGCTCAACTGACTGAGCCACCTAGGTGCCCCTATATTATTTCATAGACTTAAAAAAGATTTTTTTAAAGAAAAAGAGGACTTTTCTCTAATTTTCTCATTCTTTGGTAATGTACATAGATGTATTAGCAAAACTGTAATTAATTGATATTTTGGAGTATTCTTTTTCAACAAACATTATTCTGTTTATTCATTACTAATTTCCATATACTGATCATTTTAAATGGCGAGGTAATATTCAATCATTGCTCTATATACTTAGCTACTCTCTTACTAGCTATTTACTGTCTGGCTTTTTTTTTTTTTTAAAAAACAATTTATTTAAAAAGTGTGTTTTAGTAAAAAAAAAAATAAACATTAAAATTTTTAAATAATAAATAAAATTCAGATTGAAAAAGAAAAAAAAAAAGTGTGTTTTAGGATTATTTCTTTGAGGTATAGTTCCCAAAGTGAAAGATTAATAGTTTATAGCTCTTGCAACACATTTTCTTTCCAGAGAGAAAGACTAAACCAATTTGTTGTGCTAACGCTAATATGAGGTACCACTTACCTGCTAAAGTGGAAACAGAAAATCACTATGAGAACACCCCTGTAGTGTGTCAACTACATCAAGAACAACCTCAGTGACTGATCTTGGATCAGCAATCTCTGGTCTCACCTCTCTCTCCTCTGGCCAACATTACTAATAATTTACTAAGAATTTCCCATATACCACGCACTACCTTACAGCATTTAATTCTTACAGTACCCTAAAAGAGATATTATTATTTCCATTCTACAGATGAAAAAACTGAGGCTCAGAGACACGAGTTGTTCAAGGTTACAGGGCCTGTGGTCTGATCGCTACCACCTTGAAATCTTGGAAGATGCTGCAGTGGACAGGGAGAGCGTGGAGGAACTCTCAGGACACCCCGTGCCCTCCCGCCCACTGCGTATGGGCA